TGAGATCACCAGGGTTCTGATGTTACAATAAGGCTATCTCCTTTCTCTATGAGGTCTTTGAGTCAGGATTTAAAGGAGCCTTCTGGAACTGGAGAAAGAAATATGATGGGGTAGAAGGAGGATGCTTTATTTAACTTTTCTTTTTTGATACCTAGGCTATTGACACTCTTGTTTATCTTCTGCTTAGATGAATAATGCAATGGAATATTCATTTATCAAAAAGAAAGAAAATATTAGAAATATTCTACCAAGGAATTTAATTACAAAATCCCTTTTTATAATATTGTTATTATAATATTGTTGATTGCCTTCGAGTCGAGCACGACTCATAGCACCCCTATGAACAAAAGGTCCGAAGCCCCTCTACAGCTATCAACATTTATCAAAGTCCATAGGGTCTCCGGAGGCATGTTGTTTAGGAAGTGGATTCCACTCCTGCATGTTGTTGTTGTTGTTATGTGCTGTCGAGTTGCTTGTGACTCACAGCGACCCTATGTACAACAGCCGTAAACCCTGCTCTATCCTGTGCCAGTCTCACTGCCTCTGACACACCCATCCCGATTACCCCAGTCACTGAATCAATCCATCTCATAGAGGATCTTCCCCTTCTGCGTCATCCCTCCACACTCCCAAGCATGATGTCCCCCTCCAAGGACCTCTCCCTCCTTACAACATGTCCAAAGTATGTCAGACAAGTATGCGGAGGATCGCTAGGGGATAGTGAGCCCTGAGCTGAGACCCCCCAACCAGTGTAGGGTGTGTAGAGAGGGAGGCAGGGCAGGGTTTTGGGGTTAAGTTTATAACAAGGAGAATAAGCTTTACTACTCAGCCCAATTGCGTACAGAAATTTTATTTCTTTTTACCTCCCTGCTATTCAGTAGACTGTTTAGCAGACCTTTGTCAGAGAGGACAGCATTCATTGCTTTTGACCCTGTAGTGGATTAAATTTTATCTACCCCAAAATATGGGTCAGCTTGACTAAGTCCAGATTCTCAGTGGCTTGGCAGTTATGTAATAACACAGTAGTTAGGAAATGACCCCCTTCTGCCCACAGTGATGTGATAAGCCAGTTGGCTGTAAAAGGATTCAGGGCAAGATAAGGATGCAGGGGCCCTTAGTCTCATCACAGCCCTGCGTGAAAGGGACACCTACTACCACTAAGCTCTGTCTCATATACTTTGGGCACGTGGCCAGGAGGGACCGGTCCTTAGAGAAGGACATCATGCTTGAAAGAGTGGAGGAGAGCACAGGAGAGGAACCCCCTGATGAGATGGATTTACACAGTAACTGGGTTAAATAGGAGTAGGTTTGTCAGAGACAGTGAGACTGGATCAGGATAGGGCAGGGTACGTTGTACATAGGGTCACAATGAGTCACCGGTGACTCGATGGCACATAACAACGACTACCACCAAGAAGAAAGAGCTAGGAGTGAAGCCGACTCTTTGTGTCCAAGTACCTACACTGGGAACCTCCTAGCTCCAGGAAGGACTGATGCCAGGCCACCTGGAGGTCTCCAAAGCATGCAGGTCTATAGACACTTGAAGGAGACGAGGAGGTTCCTTCTGAATTGGGAGCCAACACGGAGACAAAAGTCTTCGCTTAGAGCTGCCTCCTCCAATTTGGACATCTAGCCTCTCCAGCTGTGAAAGAACACATTTCTGTGGTATCTCTGTTATAGCAGCTGGGTAACAAAAACATGGCCTCTAAGCAGAGGGCAGCTCACAGCAACAATATTTGCAGACAAAATTTCAAGGACGCTATTTGACTAAGCAGCTACTCTTTTTCTGGAAATCAGTTGGAATAAATCTTATCATTTTTGGTTTGGGAGTGCCTAGGTCATCAGGTCTGTCTTCTGGGTAGACCTGAACCTCCAGCCTTCAGGTTAGCAGTCAAGTGTGTTAACTATTAACTTGATGTTGCGGAATGTGGACAGGTAGGTCCTGGAAATGAATGCCTCATCAAAAGAAATGGACTGGCTGCAAAATTCATTTAGTAAAAAGTGGATTTGGGAAGAGAAGGAAGTGACACTGAGGCTGAACGAGAAAGCAAAGCGACTTTGAATGCAATGCCTTTTTCCTTTTCTTTTTTTTAAAGCATGCATATCTTTATATAAATTTTCAGCATTCAGAACTTTTAGTTCCTCATTATGCCTGTGTTTTATGTAAATATGAGGGGAGGTGTGTGCAAACCAAAATAAGTCGGGGTATTTGGAGAAGCCAGAGGAAGAATAATCCATTTCCAGTTGAAACTTTCCCCCATTCTCTGAGTCACCTTTCCTTTTTAAAAAATTAAATGTATGTGTGTGTGTGTGCAGGAAATGGGAAGGATCTTTTGTGAAAAACAATGTATTTAAACTTTGTAAATAAATCAGTATTAAATTTAAAAAAAGAAGTCTATAGGTAGTCTGGACCAGGGAAACAGCCACTGTCAAAGAATGAGAACAACTCCCCATGTTACCCTGCT